CTCTCTAAGATCCTTCATCTCAAATTCAGATGACAGCTCCTCCTTCAACTTTCGAATAGCCGAAGAATTCCGGGAAGCAATAAGCATATCGTCAACATATAAAAGTAAATATATGTGCTCACCATCATGTAGCTTGTGCATGTAAACACATGGGTTATATAGGCTCCTCGTGTACCCGTGACCAATCATGAAGCTGTCGAATCTCTTATACCACTGTCTCGATGATTGCTTCAAACCATAAAGAGACTTTTTCAGGTTGTAAACTAATTCTTCTTTTCATGAAACTTTGAATCCTTAGGGTTGTGTCATGTAGATATCCTCATCTAAATCTTTATGTAGAAAGGTTGTCTTCACATCAATCTGGACCAAATCCAAATCTAACTGTACCACTAACGCCAATAAAATTTGTATCGACGAATGCTTCACAACGAGTAAAAATACCTCGTTGTAGTCAATGCCCTCAAGTTGTGCATATCCCTTGGCAACTAATCTGGCTTTAAACCGAATGTCCCCAATAGAAGATCCCTCTTTCTTCGCATATACCCACTTGCAACCTATAACTCTCTTACCCTTAGGTAGATGTACAAGTGTCCAAGTGTCGTTCTTCTGAAGAGACTGTATCACCTCCTCCATAGCTTCCCTCTACCTGATCGAATCGGGGCTAGACTCTATCTCCCTGAATGTGGATGGAACCATATCATCAACGACCTTCACTAATAATATATATATGGCCATGACATCATTATACCTAGCTGGCCGACGAATCACCCTCCTTGGTCTATCTGCTGCAATGGACCCCTGAACATGACCTTGTTTCTGAGTCTCACATTCCATTGTATCCTTAATCTGCCCGGCTGTCATCCTATCTCCTCCCAGTGTCACCTCTGTAGGAGCCTTGATGGATACAATATTCTCTGGAGTGGGTGGAGTCACATCATCCTCCACTTGCTACGATATATTAACTGTCTGGTCTCCCTCCACCTGCTAAGGGACTCGAGGTCTTATTATGTATGCCTCATCGAATGTGACATCTCTGCTAATAGCTATCTTCTTGTCCTAGGGATCCCATAACTTAAAGCCTTTAACTCCATCTCTAAATCCCACAAATACTGTTTTCCTCGCCCTCGGATTTAATTTACCATCACTGACATAGTAATAAGCTGGACACCCAAATATCTGAAGTGACTCATAGTCATTAGTCACCGAACCAAACCAACACTCCAAAGGAGTTTTCCCGTCTATCGCAGTGCACGACAACCTATTCACGAGATGACTCGTATAAACCAATGTCTCGGTCCAAAAGGATCTAGGCAATCCACTCTGCGTCATCATACATCGTACCTTCTCTAGCAATGTACGATTCAATCTCTCAGTCACCCTATTCTGTTACGGTATCTTTCGAATTGTGAAGTGTCTTCTAATGCCGTGATCCCGACAAAACTACAGAAATGGATCACTCTTGTACTCTCCACCATTATCTGAATGTAGAGTCTTTACCTTTCTACCTGTCTGCAGTTCCACTTTCTTTTTTCACTTCACAAAAATATCCAGGACCTGATGTTTATGCTTCATAGGGTATACCTAATTCCTCCTAAAATAATCATCAATGAAAATAACAAAATAGTTGGATCCACCAAGAGATGTGTTCTTGGAAGGACCCTAAACATCTGTGTGAATATAATCCAATGTACCTCGGGTGTTGTGAATAGCGGTGCCAAACTTCACTCTAGTCTTCTTCCCAAGTACGTAATGCTCACACAGCTCCATCTTGCAGGTCTTAGCACCTTTCAATAGCCCCTGTTTTGCCAATGACTGTAGAGACTTATCACCTGTGTGTCCAATTCTCATGTGTCATAAAGTGGTAGTGTCCTCCTCTGTAGTGATAGAAGCTGCCAGACCCTCTGTAACTGTCTTTCCCTTCAAGTAGTATATGTTGTTTTCCCCGACACCTCGCATCACCACTATAGAACCCTTCGTGACTTTTACTGTAGCATCCTCTAAGATCACTCTATATCTAGCTGCCTACAAAGTCCCAAGAGAAATGATGTTCTTCGTCAACTGTGGCATGAACCTCACTTCCTTCAACTCCCTAATCACTCCGTCATGCATCCTAATCCGGACTGAACCAATACTACCAATAGGTCATACGTGGTCATTACCCATAAGCATGACATCCCCTCTTTACAGCTCCTCAAAGCTAGAGAACCAATCCCTCCTAGGTTATATGTGATATGTAGCTCCCGAATCCATCATCCACTCCGTGGAATCAACATAGCAAATCGACGGTAGTGCAGGACACGAGTAGCCCGAAGAATCTGAATCTGAATGCTCACCAATAGCTTTTGCAACATTCACTTCTGAAGCTTGTGCAGCTTTTCCCTTGTTCTTCCCAGCTTTTTCTTTCCACTTTGGGCTGTCAATCTTCTAATGTCCTTCTTCTTTACAATACCGATATTGGTTTCTACCAACACTCTTATATGCACTCCTATTCTTTAACTTTGAGCGGTTGAACTGGCGGCGGTTTGGATCTCGGCCTCGAACAACTAATGCATCTCCTGATGCCTTCTCGAAGGGTTCACCATCACTCTTCCTTAACTCATAATTCACCAAAGCTGAGATCACCTCCTTGTACCTAACGGTAGTTCTTCCATTGATCATAGTTAGAACGAACGTACCATAATCATCTTCTGGCAACGAACACAAAAGTAACATCACCTTATCTTCATCCTCAACCATGATATCCACATTGGCTATATCTGAAATTAGCTTCATGAAATTGTTGACATGCTCCCTGATGGAAACTCCCTTCTTCATCTTGAACTGGTAAAACCTCTTCTTCAAGTGAAGCCGATTCTCAATGCTCTTAGTAAGATACTTCTTATTGAGTATTTCCCACATTCTCTTCGCCGACGTCTCGTTCATAACATCATAAATAAGATCCAGCATCAAGCATGACCTAATTACTTCACAAGCCCTATTATTCATTTTCTTCCAAACCTTATCCTCCATATCAGCGGGTTTCTCTCGTAACTCAAGAGTCTCCTCTAAATTCTATGCATCCAAGGCGTCCATCACTTGACACCTCCACAATCCGAAATTGATCTTGTCGTCGAACTTTGGAACATCAATCTTCGTGTTATTGATGCTCAGATTCTGTATCGCCTTCGTAAGAGACAAACCTGATGTGCTTGCTTCTCCCATGTTATTGACATAACTCTTCAAATAGGAATTCTTTACCGAATCCTTCGAACAAGCTCCAAGCCTAACCTGTAGCTCTGATACCAATTGTTGTACATAGCAAAAGCCTTGAAGCGACACGAACAATAACTCGAGATAAATCACAACCAATAAACAAATCACAATCACAGCAAGAACAAACTATTTACGTGGTTTGGCAAGTTACCTACGTCCACGGGATAAGAAGAGGGGAGTTCTTACTATTAGAAATCAAGAGAATACAAGTAGAGTTACAAATCTTACCGATCAAACCCTAAAACAAAGCTCTAGATCTCTCACAAATCTCCCACAATTGGATGCAACAATCCTCTCCTAAAGACTACTCAAAAACATCCTTGCTTAACCCTAACTAATCAGGATTAGAGTTATATACTAACTCAAAACGAAACGGGTTGAAAGCCCAAAGCCCAGCCCAAAACAGTTTGCGGTCGACCACGGCGGTCGACCGCGCAGGTCGACCGCGCAGGTATCGCGGTCGACCATGACAGTCGACCGAACCAAACGACAAAGACTTAAATCGATCACAAGAAACCGACAATCGACCGCGGCGGTCGACCAAATCTCATCCCGAGAGAAAAATCACCTACAGGGTTGGCGCGGTCGACTGCGACGGTCGACCGTCTTCAGATCCGAATCCTACTACCCTCCTGTGCACGTTCGCGGTCGACCGTCGCTGACTCACGGTCGATCACCAGTCTACCTAGCTGAATTCTCCTACTGGATTTCCTGCACTTCTCTCGTCACGTTTGCCAATTCTTCAGCTCCTATAGTAGCCAGAGTAGAAGTAATTTTTTTGTTTAACTTTTGTGGTATTTTTGAGTAGTTAGACATGTAATAATGTATATTGTAGCTTATTATCAGACTATGGGGTGTGTTATTGTTCCCTTATCTTTTCTGCTATTTTAGTATTTAATGAATTTTGCTAGCAACCTTGTGATTCTAGGTGTTATATATGAATTTCCACTGCTTTAATTCTGCTTACCAGTATTATTGTTTGATATAAGGGCGAACATAAAAATTAAATAGGTCGACTCTCCCTATTACGGTGGAGTCATGCCCATTTTTATGTATCTCTCGGATCCTACCTCAATAGTTTTGGAGGAGGCATTATAGATTTTGAAGGAAAATACATGCTAGAGTATGGAGAACAAATCATGAGGATTGGCTAGGTCCCACCTTTTGGAGTTGAGGTTTGCCTGCTCAGGTTCAATGTTTTAAGGGTGTGTTTAGTTAGAGGGTGTTGCAATAATAAATGTAGTTATATCTATAAGTAGTTGCAACTCAAGTTGTTGCATTCACATGTAGTTGCAACTCAGATTTGAGCGACAATGTAACACCCTCACTTTTAGCATATGTGGGTGTTGTAACAACATTTCTTTGTTGTAACTACATCCTACCAAACACTTATAAATGTAGTTGGAAGAACTTAGTGTTCCAACTACGTTGATCCAAACACACACTAATGATGTTACAACTACATTTGTAGTTCTAACACCTTCTAATCAAACACACCCTAAAATGGGGGAGGAACATACCAACTAACCAAAAAAATGCCCTTGATCCTTTACTTTTTTAATGTTCTAATGAGTATCGTTATATGTATTAGGGTGTGTTTTGTTAAAGGGTGTTGCAATAACAAATGTAGTTTTATCTATAAGTAGTTGCAACTCAAGTTGTTGCATTCACATGTAGTTACAAACTCAAATATTATAGCAACACTCTAAAACTTCAGCACGGATGCAACACCCTCATTTTTAGCATACATGGGTATTGCAATAATATTTCTGTGTTGCAACTACATCCAACCAGGCACTCATAAATTTAGTTGGGAGAACATAGTGTCCCAACTGCATCAATCCAAACACAAATGATGTTGCATGAGATTACAACACAAAAAATTGCATATAATGTGTGAGAATCCGAGATAATTTAAAAAGGGGTATTATAAGTTTAGGGCATCATGAAACAGGGTTTTTGACAATTTTGAAAAACATCTAAACTGTCCTCCCTAAAGTAAATCACGTGATTTACTTCAGCAAAACTTATGTGACAGGAAGGGGACATAACATTTCAGTAATGACAAATTACTCTTATAATTATAATTACCAATCTTAGGGCTTGTTTGGATTGAGGGGAATGAGGGTGAAGGGAAGTTAGGGGAACCATTCACCTCCATTCACCTTGTTTGGGAACACTTAGGGCTTGTTTGGATTGAGGGGAATGAGGGTGAAGGGAAGTTAGGGGAACCATTCACCTCCATTCACCTTGTTTGGGAACACTTAGGAGGTGAAGTTAATTCACCCTAGTTCCCCTTGGTTCACCCCCTAATAGTATAAAATTTGTTACCCCCCAAATTGGGGTGTAACCAAGGGGAAGGGAACTCCTTTCCCTTCCCTTCCCTTCCCTTCTCTTAGTTTCCCTTAACTTCCCTTCACCCCTTACAAATCCAAACAGGCCCTTAGGAGGTGAAGTTAATTCACCCTAGTTCCCCTTGGTTCACCCCTTAATAGTATAAAAATTGTTACCCCCCAAATTGGGGTGTAACCAAGAGGAAGAGAATTCTCTTTCCTTCCCTTCCTTTCACTCAGTTTCCCTTAACTTCCCTTCACCCCTACAAATCCAAACAGGCCCTTAGGATCAGCCGCGTAATGACGGCATACCAGGCTAAGTAAGGGCCTAGGAATGAAATCCCCAATTAATAATCCTAGAAAACACATGCTTTCTTGGGCCTGAATCGGACTGATAAAGTACCCTCCTCGGACTCTCTCGCTGTCTCCCTCCAAAAAATGAAGGGTATCTTCGACCACTCCCTTCCCTTCTCTCTCCTCCTCCTCTCTCCTGCCTATCGCCGCCATCAAATCATCATCATCATCATCGTTCGAACCCCGTCACTCCTCATCCTCTCGACGCCGCTGCGGCGAATATCTCGATCCAGGCCTACCTCCTGATAAACACCTCATCCAACCAACCCCCGACTAACGCGCCGCCGTCTCCCTTCCTCGAAACCCTGCGCCCAAACCCTAAACGCCCTACCCTTCGAATCCAAACCTTAAGTTCGTCCCCAGCAAGCCCTTGCTCCTCATCAGATGGCCGGCTCGACCCCCCTCCCCTCCCTCCTCCTCAACTCCCAAGCACCACGTCGTCCCGTCCGAGCCCTCCAAGTGGGCCCCCTTCTCTCCCTCTCGCCGAATATGGACCCACCACCGCCGCATCTTCGCCGCGGGCTCCCCAGGGACATGCAAGTTCGTCGGCCTCCAGTACCCTCGAGGCCGCCCGCCGCCTCGTCGAGCAGGGCTTCGCCCCTCGCCGGACCGTGTACTTCTCGTTCGTCCCCGATGAGGAGATCGGAGGGGTTGATGGCGCGAAGAAGTTCTCGGAGTCCAAGGTTTTCGAGGAAATGAACGTGGGGTTGGTTCTTGACGAGGGGTTGGCTTCGCCCACGGAGGAGTATAGGGTTTTTCACGGGGAGAGGAGCCCTTGGTGGATGAGGATTAGGGCGAGGGGGGCGCCAGGGCACGGGGCGAAGCTCTATGATGGGAGTGCGATGGAGAATTTGGTGAAGAGTGTGGAGAGCGTGATGAGGTTCAGGAGGAGCCAGTTTGATTTGGTGAAGAGTGGGGAGAGGGCTGAAGGGGAGGTTGTTTCGGTTAATTTGGTTTATTTGAAGGCTGGGACTCCAACTCCCACTGTGAGTTTTTCTGAATTGCTCTTTTTGTTTCTTTGTTTGTTTGTTTGTTGTTGATAGTTTAGTTTGACATGAGTTGATGAGATTGATGGGTCCATGGATAAAATGCTTAGATAATCAATTCTCAAAAAAATAAATATATAACTGCTTTGATAATCATCCTATTTCGATTATGTTTTGGTTTCAGTACTACTGAATCCTGGTCATAGAAGCAAAATGCCTGTCAGTCTGAGCAACAGAAAATCTATACAAGGGCTAGATTAATGGGCTTTAAGGAAATTAACGGCTGAGAAAAGTATGTTGAATTATTAATGATATCTTTGATACAATGCTACAAGTATTTGAAATAGCCTTGTGGAGATTACTGAAGTTTCTCCACATTGTAGCAAAGGAATGGTTAGAACTGTTTATCTATTTTGACTAACCCTAATCAAGTCCCAACTAGTTTCCAGGAGGATTTATGTGATTTTACATGTTAACTGTTTTAGGCTCCTATAGTGACAGTGAGTGTGAGTTGTGGGAGATGTAAGCAACTTTAGAGATTGACAAATTTACTCATTATAACTGCAAGTAGAGTTTGGAAGGATACTATGGACAGATTCATCTTCCATTCTAGAAGAGATGGAAAGTCACTTAAACATGCTCTTGATTTCATATTCCATTTTGATGCTTGAACTAGCTTGGGGATTGATTTTTCGTGGGAAATCAGAACTAGAATTTGTTCCATTTCTCTATAAACATAGAATCATCACGTTTGACCAATGGCACGGTCCTATCCACATCTTAATTCCAATCAGGTATGAGCCCGTTTTTATAGTAAGTTCTGATTTCTGAGACGATATCCTCCAGATCAAACACCGGTCATTTAGTTTTTCGTCATAGCTGATCTTCACGAAGAGAACAATGAGACTTAAGTCTTGGGGAATTATGTTAATATGAGAAGTCCTCTACATGATATGCAAAATTGGAGAGCTTACTTTTATTATGTATCTCTTTGGGTAACGTCAGCGAACAATGTTTAGGAGAGCTCCTATATGGTAGTCGGTAGACTATGTAAATTGATTCAATATTTGTTCTTAGCAGACCCATTTAATGGATATAATGACAGCCTTAGAATCCCATGACATGATATAAGCACTCTTGGTAAGCCAACTTGGTTTTATACTCTCATAACCGAAATGCATTGAAACTTCCTAGTTCTTATTTCATAGAGATTTACTTCCTTCTTCTCGTTTTTGTAAGGATACATTTTCTGCTACTTGAATACCACTAATCTTGATAGACCAATGACTTGAATCTCAATATACCCCTTACTCCGTTCACCACAATCAGCATAAGGGACCTACTTAACCAATCCACCCTCGTTTCTTAACCTCAGCTGCCAAGCAAAAAATGGAGGCTGGGAGCAATATGTGGTAATCCCTCTAACAACCCATCCCCTCCTAAGGACTCAGCCCCTTCCTGACAATGAAGAGTGAATGATTACTAGATTTTCTTTTAACCATTTTTGTGAGGTTATTTTGTTCTTGTGGGCATTTATCCACATGAGGATGCTAGCAAACTCTATGAGAACACTATAGGAGTGAAACTTGAAATAAAGAGAGAAGTTAGCCTTTGGCAAGAGGTCGTACTCTATCAGCCAACTCATGTTTTGATTTCACAAAGTTAATTTGGTCCAGTTGAGTTGTAGGTGAAGAAGGGGCACTGATGAAAGGAAAAGGTGGCAGTGTGGCACTTAGTCATATTGATGCTTACCTAAATACTAGTGCTTTACCTTTACCCTAATGTCTGTTGCAAAGAATACACATTACCCTTACTGTACCTGTTTACATAATGGGGGTGCTAGCCTTTAAGCTGCTCTTTTGTATGAATAGGTCTGAAAATTAAAAAATTTACCCTCACTCTGAAAAACCGATGGAGAAAGTAACAGTAAATATGTATATGATTTATCATATACCATAAGCCATTTTGCCTCCCTCTTTGGGGATATTTCATTAGGTTAAATCCAGGGGACAATGATGACAGCAATCATGGATATCCCAAGGAACTGACCTCCATGTGAATAATTTTAAAATCGTAAAATCAACATTAGCAGACTATAATCTTTAGTAGACCCCACAACACATGGATACTGCATCTAGAACGCATACCTATGGATGCAAACTTGATAAGTTGGTCGTGTTGCTAAATGTAAACCACAACGCAAACCTAGAAACTAGGGACTGGAGTTTGCACTTATTGTTGTAACACAATATGACTTCTTCATTTTGCAATGATTCAGTGCAACATAGATATTACTTTTATATGCAGACCCAAAAGAAATGCTAGCCTGTATAGAGTAAGACAGAAAAGAAGTAAAATATGACAGAAATTTTGTAAACGATATATAAAAGCTCAACAAATAGTAATCTAACTAAAGACTCCAGCCTTTTCCTAGACGATACTGGAAATCCTCCATGACAACAAATATTTTCTAAAAACAGTAGGACATATACACACTAAGGTTACTCTTCTCAGGTGCTGTTCAATATTAATGTTCTGATGAAAGTACATCTGTTAAATGTCTTTTCTTTTCTTTGCCTTTAACCCTTCTAAGCTGGTTCTCATCGGCATCACATTTAATTGCCATTTCCAAATTACAACAGAAATCACAATCTCAGGAGGTTATTCCTCTAGTACTTATATTTGTATTGTTTGTGCAACTGGTATTAACAGCACAATAACCACTATTCATAAGTCATAACAACAAAATGCCCCTTTGAGCCCACCGGCCGGTGATGACCTCGCAGAAAAGAAAACTAAGATATAATTAAATAGCATAATAAAACCCACCCTTCCTCTTATTCTCCCATCTTTGTTTTCTTTTCTCCTTTTGGACCTTGTAGTAATGGCTTTTTCCTGTATCCTATAATCACATAAAATCTGCATTTCTTCACTCTTTGTTCTGCTTCCTTTCTCATTAGGCCACCCTGAGCCCTTTGCAACATTTTTGTGTCCTAGACGCTGTCCGTACCATTTTTCTTCTTCAACACAATCTTGGTCCCTTCTCATCTCCTTTAACGTCCTTCAGCCCGTATCAATCACATCTTATTCTCAACCTTTCCAACCTTCGTATAGCTTGCTCTATGGTATGCCTTCATTTCCCACTTATCCTTTTCCCCCCTTGAAGGGGCAAAAGTAATTGCGTGAACATTATGGTCATCTAAAATTATCTGGAACAGGAATTGACATGCTAGCAAAATGTTCTCACAATTTTGCTTTTACATAGATTTTCATTTCTATGTTCAGGCCTCTTGTTTGATAGTTTAGGAATTTATTTATATATCTGCTGTTTTAATGCTACAGTTAATTGACATTAGGTTACCTGTACAAAAATTTTCCAAGAGCTGATTTTCTTTCAAATAGTTGGTTATTCCTCCAGAACTCTTTAAGTTTTATTAGACTAAATTTTTTTCCGCATTCTGAACTAACTTTGCCAACTTTTTGTGGTGACATTTACTATTGGGTTTACAATTGGCAAGCTTCAGAAATATATTGTTGCTATCAACTTATCTTCCTGCTACCATATCAGTTGGAAACAACTTTTGTGTGTGTGTGTCTATCTATATATATATATATGCACAATAAACTGGTATTATATATTCTCTTATACTTGAGCTTTATCTGTCTTCATGAAGCAGATGTAGGGGATAAATTATGTAAGACCATGAGTATGTAGGTACAGTCTCTGCAATTTGGTTCCATGTTCTTTTGGGATGAAAGCAGCTAAGCATTTTATGCCGCTCTTCTCGTTACTTTCATTTCATCTTCAGGGTTTCATCATGAATCTGCAACCATCTGAAGCTGAGGCAGGTTTTGATATTCGGGTCCCTCCTAATGCTGATCCTTTGGCTTTAGAGCGACGCATTGCTGAAGAGTGGGCACCATCTTCTCGTAATATGACATTTGAGGTATGGACTATACTCCATGGATCATGAAAAAAGTCACACGTCCTTTCCTTTTTGTTAGTCTTATGCTTCAACATCATTTGCTGAAAATTGAGCCCTTATTTGGTTATGCTTTTCGTTTAATATTATCTTCTCAAGAAAAAGAAGATTCAGTGTTGAAGTTGGTTGTGATTACTATTTGCCATTTTTTTTATGGAAACGTGGAATTGTTCAAACTCAAGCAATCACAAACTTAAATCTGGTTCCATGATTTTTATTTCATCAGAAGTAAAGAACTCTCCTGTTGTGTGCATGTTTCATTTTCTAAAGGCTAATAGCACTTATATTCCTTATAGTCTCCCCTATTTTGCTCTTATATACCCTCAATTGTTTTGGTAGCACTTATATACTCTGAAGTTTCTAAATTCACACCTTAATACATTCTTTTATGCAAACACAATAATTTCTCCCTGAAATTTCCCATGTGACACTCACAAGCTAATTTTGGAATTTTTAAGCCCTTTGTGTTTCCTATGTGACACCTACCATAATTGTATTTCACTATATAATTGGGGTAGGTTTAACATAGAATCAAGGTATGTTTAACATTATAAGTTCAACAAACATTAAGAACTTAGAAGGTCTAAAACTAGCTCTATTAACATCACATGGGAAAATTCTCATGCTTGCATAACAACAGGGATTAAAGTGTAAAATCTAGGAACTTTGGGTATATAAATGCTAGAAACAAGTCAGGTTATACAAGTGCAAGGTAGGGGAACCTATAATATATTTAAGTGCTAACTAGCCTTTTTCAAACTGCCTGTTCATCTGATGTCATCTAGACTAGTACTTACCATTTGAGATTGTATATACCGATCAGTTCTTACCAAACTGCTCCCAATTTGAAGAAGAATTTATTAGTTTTCTCTGAGCAAGTTTTTCCCCCTTTCTTTTTCACTTCGTGCAGTTTATACAGAAGGTTGCTATATATGATAATTTTGGAAAGCCAGCTGTCACAGTTGCTGACAGTTCTAATCCATGGTGGATAGTCTTAGAAAGTGCAGTAAAAGAAGCTGGTGGAAAACTTAGCAAGCCAGAGATATTTCCAGCTTCAACTGATGCTCGCTATTTCCGTGATTTGGGAATACCAGCATTTGGGTTTTCCCCAATGGCAAACACTCCCATCTTGCTCCATGATCATAATGAGGTTTGTGTTCATTTTTTTTCATCTGCAGTCATTATTAACTGCTAGGAGTTCTTTTTAGCAATATGCCTCTTTTTTTTTCTAAATTCCATGTGAGAAATTTGTGATTTGTTCGCGGGTTTTGAATAGATAGTTTACTATTTATTTTCATACACTATTAGTCTTGTGTCTTTAATATCCAGACATCAATCTAGCATCTTTTTTTTCATCAGAAGCTCTTCCCAACTACTTTGCATCCTTCTATGTGCTTTTCATCTGATTTATTGTTTTTTTTTCCTCTTTCCTTTTTGTTCTCTGCAGTTCTTGAACAAAGATGAGTACCTGAGAGGAATCGAGATCTATGAGTCAATCATCAAGAAGCTGTCCTCTTATAGCAAGCACGCCAAGGATGCAGAAACAAGGGCGGAGTTGTAAATTGAAGGCTTTTTCTGCAGCACCAGTGAAGTTACTAGTATTGATGGATTGTATTAAGGTCAGATTTGTATTGTATCGGTGTCAAGCATCAACAGAGCTTAAAGTTGTGGTAATAATTGATCAGATTGGTGAAACTATGTACATTGTATGAAGAGCAATGTTATATTTTTTAATGAACCCTGATAAGCTTGTAGGACATGGATATAAATCAATAATTTACATTTTTTTTGCTGACCTCCTTTAAGTCCTTAGATTTTTTTTTTTGGGTTCCTAAACTGGGCAGTATATTGTTTTAAGTTATGCTGATTAGTTATTGAGAAGATGAAATGTGTTGAAATAGCAGGACTACAAATTAGAGAGTCAAAAATTCCATTTGTTTGCTTGTTTTTTTTAATTATGTTTTTATGTTTTGCTGTGCGCGCACGTGTGTTGTGCGTGTATGTTGGGGGTGTGGGTCAATCCCAATTTGTACGTCCAGATTTGGACACCACGGTCCAAAGAAGGGTAGGATAGGAGTGCGGTTCTGAAGACATTGTCTCCTGTATGTTTAAGTGGACAAATTTTTAAAACCGACCTCTTTGGGTTTTTAATTGCAAAAAACGACCAATTTCAATCTTATTTATAAAAACCGACCCAGTTGGTTGAAACTGGGTCGGTTTTTGAAAAAAATTTTCCCAAACTTCACGGGAGTTTAACTCCCGTGAAGTTTTGTTATGAGAAAAACTTCACGGGAGTTCAACTCCCGTGAAGTTTCCCCAAAAAATTTTAAAAAACCGACCTGTTTTTAGCCCCTGGCTGAAAACAGGTCGGTTTTTGTAAATATTTTTAAAACCGGTCGTTTTTTGCAATTAAAAACCCAAAGGGATCGGTTTTGAAAATTTGTCCATGTTTAAGTCGGTATATTTTATATGAAGAATACTGCTGGCAATGCAGAGGAATCAAATTGATGTGTGTGTATACGTACGTTTTGCATCTTACCATCTTTTTCTTGGTAGACGTTTGTGTATCTGTGCAGTAGGAGTTTTAGGTGTATCAGATGACATTGCTCGCTTGTTGTTACCTTAACGTAGGTGTGACACCGGCAACTCCACAGTAGTGGTGATTTCGCATGCCTGCTCAATTACCATTCTTATCGGCTACCATTTCGCTTTCTCTTTAAACGTTTGCATCGAATGGCTCCGAGTGTCTAAAATTAAGTTTCATTCTGTGAGATCTAAAATTAAGTTTCATTCTATGAGATCTGATGGCTAGTCTCATGCAAACCGCGTAATAGATCAATTATGAGAAGTTTTAGCAAATACGTGGTGAAAAAATCTTGGAGTTTTTGCAGGATACTTCTTTTTATAATTACATTTAAACGAGCAAAATTGACCCGTACGATGCCTCGGATTGGCATGAAGAAGCCAAACAATAACGGTTTTAGTTGGTTTAAAAACATATCCTATAATTAACTACTTAGAAAAAGTTTATTTTGGTTGATTAATTTGAGTCTAAGAGTGATCTAAGAAGTTGGCAGATTTAAAAGTAAATGGTGGAGCTTTTGGTTTATAGGCGAAAACCTTTCTTTGAAGAGGCTATTTAAAAATAAATGGAGGTAAACCTTTGGATTAGACAAAAAAAACTCACCTACAGTTCGTGAAGTTGGAGCACTAGTATGAAAAAAACAAAGGAAATAATAATTTAAGCATTTGGTTTAACTCAAATTATCTACCACGTAGAACAAAAATTTATAGCAATATAACAAAAAATAATAATAATAACGTAGACTGTGTATCAAAATGTTAAAAAACAAATTAGATTCAAAAAATTTAATAGAGTATTTTGGCTCTATGAGTGATTATGGAAGTGGGTGAATTTAAAAATAAATAACGGTAAATGTTTAGGTTTATAAACAAAAAACTTTTTTGGAAGTGGGTGGATATATAAATAAATGAGGCCAAGATATTGGGTTTATAGGCAAAAAATCCATATACAACCCCAAATGTTGCTATATTAATTGGGCAAAAAGCCAAAAATTACTGGTTTAAGTTAAAAATAATACCTAACCACTTATAACAATAAATAGAGCAAATTATTATAAAATAATAAAAACTAACATACAACAAACTAATAAAAATACAAAGTGGATTTAAAAATAATTCAATGTACCGTTTTTGGGTTAAGAATTATTTGGAAGTGGGCACTTTTAAAAATAAATAGGGGCATATATATATATACATATATGTATACGTATATATATATGTGTGTATATATATATACTAGTTTGCGGTCCGTGCAAAGCACGATATTTTTTTTTGCTACAGTAATCCCGCTTTTTTAATATGGGATGATTTGAATTTTTGAAAGTGCTACAGTATCCCGCTCTGCTACAGTACCTTTTAAATGCTACAGTACACTCGTGTGCTACAGTAATATTTTAAACTAGTTATTAGCTACAGTAATAATGCTACAGTAAATGCTACTGTAGCATGAACAGTGAATCTCTGATCCTCCTATTTGTATAAAGGGATATATATATATATATATATATACACACACACACACTAGTGTGAACACCGTGCAAAGCACGGCATATTTTTTTTCTCATTATAGAAATTCTGGTTTAACTGCTATAGTATTTTTTAAAATTTAAATTATTGCAATATCCCGTCTCTGCCATAGTGTTCCCTTGTGTTGTAGTAACGTTTTTTCAAAAACAAAGTATTCAATTTCATGTTTGCTACAATAATAATGCTACAGCAAATCTTAGATTCTCTCGTTTATATAGAGGAATAGATATGTACCTCTTTGATATTATTTAGAACTTTGCACCTTTGAACTTATATTTTAATACTTGTTTCCCTTTAATTCGTGAGAAGCGAAAGACTAATAGATAGCTTGGAACTGACAAGACTAAGACAAATTACCTCTAGACTAGAGTTCATCTGAGAAAAAGGAAAATCAGCTTACAGATGTGACTTTAAGAAACAAATTAAAAAGTGGTAATTAGTGATCTTTCACATGATTATTCGTGTGTTTTTGTTGCTTTCCGTTGGTTCTAGTTATATGTAATAAATGAAATCCCTTTACTTTTGATAAGTTTCCTTTCTATGAGGAAAATTACAAAATTCTCAACTCTATTCTGTAAATGCATATGCAATTTTATGTCTTAATTACAAAGATCTACAATCTAGATAGTTAATCTACTCTTTGAAATTTTAAATTTTTATCTACTTCTAAATCGGTCTATTAACTGTCCTAAAAATGTCTAATATTGTATATTTCTGAAATATTACTTTCTAATATTGTAATATTTCTAAAGATTTTTTTAACCCAAAAAGAATACAGTCATTCCAAGAAACCCTTGGACTAAAAAATTCACCCTTTTATATTTTTATTATTGTAATTAATTTTATGTAGAAAATATTGTTAGGGTTCTGGTTTTGAACCTACACTCTTGTTTTGTTTTGATGATTTTACAAACAATTTATAACTAATTTTGTTTCCTAGTGATTGTGGCTTATTACAGGTTTATATCAGAGTTAAAGATTCAGATCAGCCATGTTTACAATCACTTAGGTATTATTGTATATATCGTGTGTTATTTTCTAAGCTCAATATATATTTATACACACACAGTTGTTTCGTTTCGTGAAAACAATGTGGCTTTGGTTTAACATCATGTTTACATTGTATATTGTTTATAAAAACGTTTTACAAAAGTTTTGCAATACACCTCTTTATCAAAATCAAATGTATATGTTTACATATTTACACATATATGTGCACATTTGCTAAAACGATGATCTTTTACAAATGGCAAATGTAATTTCCAAAATTTCTTCACAAATATGTTTAATATCATGGTTATAAACTATTCCCAAAGTTTTACATTTTTTAGTATTTATTTGATATTTTTTAACAAGGTTCAAAGTTAAAATTTTCTGTGTACATGTTTATGAGTCGACTGATGAACAGTATTGAGTCGACTCACAAACTGCTGCGTAGTTTACAATTTGTTTCTGATAAGTCGACTTACAACATCATGAGTCGACCCATCAAATTGAGTCGACCCATGCCTGTCATAAGTCGACTCACAAACTGTGCTGGAAAATGAGTTTGTTTCTGATGAGTTGACTCATGATCTTATGAGTCGACCCATGGTTTATGAGTCGACTCATGAATTTTATGAGTCGACCCATAAGTTGGTTTTTAGCCTGTAACGGCTACTTATCAGTTGACTCATGAGCAGTACTGAGTCGACTCATAACACTGTAATGGCTACTTGCAGTTTTTGTCTTCTTCTGGCTTTTTGGTCTTTTTACTTGGGTTCTTGCTGATGTTTTGGGTTGTTATAAACAAAATTTATATAAGATTTGGAAATCAAATTGAGGGCAAAACTTGAAAGAAAAATGCGTCAAGGGACCCCAAAATAGGGCATCCTGAGTGGGACATGTGATGTGTTGCCTTCCTGTTCCGTGATGCGCTGTTCATAAATAGTGCATCACAAAATTTATATAAGATTTGGAAATCAAATTGAGGGCAAAACTTGAAAGAAAAATGCGTCAAGGGACCCCAAAATAGGGCATCCTGAGTGGGACATGTGATGTGTTGCCTTCCTGTTCCGTGATGCGCTGTTCATAAATAGTGCATCACGGGACAAGGAGACGACAACTTACCTGTTCCATGCAGGGTCCCCTATTTTGAAGTCTTTGTAGCAGCACTCAACTTGAAAAGACCAAGAAAATTTTCACCAAATTCTCTTTAAGGAACCCACTATAGTAAACTCTCTTAACTGACCCGCTACTATCCCACAGTCCTCTTTTAACCGATCTGATCTACAATCCACAACATTCTTCAACAATGCACTCAATTACTCATGCTATAGGGGGGGTAAGGACTAAGGAGAAGTAGATGTAGAGTTTTCTAGCTGTGATGAGTATTTCTTGGTTCAAATCCCTTCATTAGATTATGTACAAATTTGATCCTTGTAAAGTATGATGAATTAGAGTTAAAAATTATTATTATGCACAAGTATACTTAATCATGCACGCATCGTGTGCACCAACAAACTACTACACAGGGCAGATTACAACAGAAACACAATACCATCGTCAAAATTTATTTAGAAGTTGAAATTAGTTTGAGGGCAAATTTGAAAAAAGACCAGTAATTACTCCGATAAGTAACCCCATTATTTTTTAACTAACCCATTACTCCCATTTATTAAAGTAACTACCACACATAGCAAAATTCAAAGTTCATTTAACAGCCCACCGGACTATGTATGTTAGGAAGAGAAGAAAACATTGACAGAACTTTTGAATATACCGTTAGTACTTCTTGATTAAAATTTATTCATTTAAATTACATAAATATTTGTTCTCTATCCAAGTTATCATGGTATTAACAACTAAATACATAAATAAACAAGTAAATAAATAAATAAATAATCATGTGAATTGCGTCATGCACACGTTGCTTGCACTAGAATAGTAATGCTAGGTATTAAGAGAAGCCTCTCTCTTGATTTGTGTGAGTCACAAACTTTGAAAAATCCAAAAAATTTAACATACCATTCATTTCCTTCACGGTTCAACTATGACACAATATTCCACGTTTTCATTGATAATTCGACTACAACACTCTTCCACATTTTGCGTCATGCACGTATCGTGTGTGCCAAGATACTAGTACTAGTACTAGTACTAAGGTAAATGGAAGGTAGTATTCATAAGCACTATTCATTTCCATTGACTTTGGTATATATAGAAATCTAAACATATTATAATCATCTCGCTATAACTGATCTCAATTATATAGGAAAATATGCTTGTTTTGATTATTTATGCAATCACTAAGAAACAGTAGTTTTAAATTTTTGGAGAACATTTTCTATAACAATCTTCACATTGTGTACACCTTTTCGGATTCATTTATTTTTTAGGGATTTTTCTCTTTTAACCCAAAGTTTTACCCCCAATTATTTAAAAACACATCCACTTTACTAAACACCAATAAACCCATTATACCCATGTGACTTAGTTTTAAACCCAATGTTCATTATACCTCTCTATCTCTATACTGTATTTTCCCCAAAATTGAGAAACCCGACTTTGCCATGTCTCTCTTCTTCTCATCACCGCCAACAGTAGGACATTAATGGTGACGATGGCGGAAGAAAAGGGCGGGCTACACTCACACTTCACCAACCCCCAATTTGGTACCCATCTTTAATTACTCTCTCCTTCTCTCTCTCCTCCATTAATTTATTCTCTCTTCTTGAGAAATCTCTCTCCTCCATTAATATTTCTCCTCATAGAAGACATTAATCCTACATCAGATCAGTGGTTGAGATCTTATGTTCGTTTCTTGCAGTAAAAGAAGACATTTAAAGGTAACTATAAAGTGATTGAGATCCCATCTTTATATCTTGATTTGTTGAAATGTCTACATTTTTAAATGAGAAAACATTTATCATGTTAAGACTACTATTTTCTCATGAAAAAAATCCTAATTCTGTTGATTACATCATTTGTAGTGAGAGTTAGGAAAGTGCTATACTTTCTTTAAAAAGTGCTATGAAAAGCTGAGCAATATAAAAGTTCTATATTTTCTTTATTTGATCCCAAAATAAAAACCATTTGTTCCTCATTTCTATAGACTGTAGAAAATATGGCCTTTGAATATTTAGGAATGAATATTGAATTATATTGTATAGAAACGTAGAGAATTGCATATTGAATGTCGATGTTGAATTATATCATATACAATAAGAAAATGCATATTAGACTTGTGTTTGTTTGGTAATATTTGATTGTTAGTTAGTTCCCCACTTATTTTATTTTTTATGAATTTCAGTAATGGATGAAGAGCTATATTGTGCAATTATGGACTTCAGAGGAAACAATCATTTGATTCCAATGAATATCAAGGGGACTTTCGGTAATTTAGTGGCTGAGGTGCAAAGTAGAATTGCTTTTTTTTCAAGTCCAGTGAAGCTGACTTATGAAGTCCAATATACAGAAGAATTGTTTGTACATGTCCATGATGACGTCGATTTGTCAACAATGTTCGACATACATCTAAGTTGCAAGAAGAAGATAGTTAAGATGCATGTTGACATAGATCGAGATACATTATTTGGTTTAGAGGCAAACACCATTCATATAAGGTAAGAACTTATTGTATATTGCAAGGTCCATATTTCACAAAATTATTCCATGTTTATTTAATTTCTCTGTAGTTCAAAGAAAAATTATGACGATATAATATGTCGGCAATTAGCTATAGTACTAGATAAGAATTTTCATTAATGTTTCTAATTTCTAGTCCTTTAAGGTAACTGTTTTATGTTTGTAGGAATCCTACCATATCTCTTTCGAAACAACATGCATCCTTGACGCATAATCCATCCAATTCACAAAATGCATTAAATGAAGTTGAGAGATCTAGTATTCAGATTCCTATTTCATGGTATCATGCCATTAGAAGTGTTGGACAAGAATTTAATGATGTTGAACATCTAAGGCAAAGTCTTGGAAATTACTCAATTGCTCTCGGTTTTAACTTTGCTTATTTGAAAAATGAACCTAGAAGATTGATAGTAAAATGCAAAGGTGCTGATTGTGAATGGATGGTCCATTGTAACCGTCGTACAGACTGCAAACGGTTTTATGTGAAGAAAATTGGTCGTGCACATAGTTGTCTCGGAGGAAGCATAGGAGAGAAGGGACATCCATGGGCATCTCATAAGTGGGTGCAAATATTGTGAAATCCATACTAAAAGAACAACCCACCTACCGCTCAATTGATCTTAAAAAGAAGCTTCTGAGAGAGTTTGGCATTGATATCCCCTATGGAAGAGTTTGGTGTGGGAAAGAGCTTGCTCAACAGGAGTTATATGGGTATGCAAAACATTCATATGAACAACTTAGATGGTACAAGGATAAAGTTATGGAAACTAACCCAGGATCAATCGTCCATCTAGAACACGAAGATGGCAGATTTACTAGATTTTTTATCTCATATTATGCTTGTTGGAAGGGTTTTGTCGATGGATGTAGACCAATGTTATTCTTGAATGACACCCATCTTTTTGATAGGTACAAGGGAACTCTACTTGCTACTACTACTTTGAATGGAGATGGAGGAATGTTTCCTGTCGCTCTTTGCATTTGTGGAACTGAGAATGAGAGCAATTGGGAGTGGTTCCTTGAATGCATTCGTGACGTATTGTACAATTCAGATGATCCATATACTCTGAATGATGAGCTGATTATAATCTCTGATCAAGACAAAGGACTTCAAAATTCCGTCAAGAATTGCTTCCATTGTTCATATCACAGTTATTGCATCCGCCATTTAATGGCCAATTATAAGAACAACTTGTCAAAGAAAAGGTGACCAGCACCACTTAGGGATGATTGTGTTCATATTATGAAGAGAGCTGCCTATGCCTACACAATTCATGCTTATCATAATGAATACAACGAGCTCCAGAATAAGTCATCTATTGCTTTTATTGAAATGCTAAATATGAGCCCACAGAATTGGGCTAATTGTTATTTTCCTGGAAAGAGGTCACCATTTTTACATATTTTTGATCTTTGTGATTGAATTCTCTGATATGTGTGTTTGAACTTGTATAACATTTGAATAATCCTATAGCTATAACATGGTTGCAGGTATGGGTGGTTAATCTCAAATCTAGCTGAGTCCTTCAACGCATGGATTAAGGAAGCCCGATTTTTACCGATAGCGCAGTTGGTTGATCACATCCGGGTGAAGATGATGAAAATGAGCTACGATAGACGTGAGCAATCCAACAAATGGACTACACCACTTGTTCCTAGTGTAGAGGAGCATCTTGTCTTGATCAACGAGGGTGCACATTGTCTTCATGTTAATCCTTCTACGTCGATTCTGTATGAAGTATATGATTCCCTGTCTGTTAGAGTGAATTTGGAGAACCGCACGTGTACTTGTTGCTAATGGCAAGTTCTTGGACTACCTTGCAAGCATGCGGCCGCCTTAATCAGGCACAAAGATCAGCTATTGTATCTCTATATTTTTGATTATTTCAGCACGGAGGTGTACCGCAAGTGTTACTCCTTTCCTATATATCCAATTCCTGATGATGAGAAGCCAATTATAATGGATGAGAATATGGAGATTAGAATGAATTTGCCAAGTACACAGATCTAAGCTCCTGCACAACTTCAACATTCACAGAATTTTAACAATAAGAACATAGTTACAGCATAAAACAACAAATACACAATACCACTACAAAAATCAACACCCTATGCTCCTGCACAGATCTAAGCTACACAATAAACACAAAATCCAAATCAGCCAAGTACACAATCAACACAAAATGAATATACCAATCAACACAAAATGAATCTGCCAAGTACACAGATCCAAGCTCCTGTGCAACTTCAACATTCAGAACATCCAAGACATGTATATTCAGAGTCTACTTCCTGAGTAAAAGCATATTCTAGCAGATTTTCTCCTTCCTCCGAGATAAAGGCAATAGCGATCTATGATCGTAGAAGTTCACAATCATCCTGATGAATGAATGGTGGTGTGTCGTTGATGATGGAATATATGTATCCCATCATGAAAATACCACAATCTAAGCTCCTGCACAAACAAATGCCGCAATCAATGATTACATAATAAAATAATAATATGTTAGGAAAATCAATCACATTAATACATTATAAGTTACAGTCATACCCATCCTGTTGAGGAACCTGTCGGGTTTCTATACTATACTCATCCACATTTTCTATTTTCCATTCATCCTTTATGCAAGCTAAGAAATTGTTCATGAACATCTTGGCATCATTAAGATATTTAATGTATGTGAGTGATGAATAGTGATAAAAAATTTTCTCAGCCTTAATCAATTCCAACAAATGCCAATGACTACTGCTAAGAATAGGAAAAATAATCTTCTCGCATTCTTCGAAGCGTGCACGTGAAAGCTGTCGACCCTTGAGTTGTCTTGCCCAATGACCGGGATTATCTTATAGTAACGCTCTCTGTTAAAACATGACCATAATATTTAACAAAAAATAATTTAAATGATAGTAAATTTTCCTAATACTCACGGCAAAGAATGATCATGTGATGTGTATGTGTTTTGAACATGCTTCTGTTTCAATCTTCCTCTTAAATCTCTCTATTATACCATCGAAATTATTCATAATAGAATGATCATAACTAAAATATGGAAATATGCACAAAACTATTAAACATTGAGAACTTACACTATCGAAAATTGCGCTTCCAATAAGAAGATGATATACATCTAACCGGGTAACAGATTGCCAAACAAATTCATCTCTATGACAAATGAAACATACACAAGTTAAATAAATGTAATATGAAAGGAAGCACAACAAAAACGAAATTTATAAAGCAAAATCGCATGTGTGGGATAAATTATACATGCTCATTCTCTTCTTACAAAACTCATCAAGGACTTTCCTCTCACTTTCATTTAACTTTCCCTTCGCCGGGTAATCGCAATTCTTAGGGATAAAATCAGTCTCGCTATTGACATTCCTTCTCTTCTCCGGCATTTGCAACTGGGAAACATCAATCACTTCATTCTTTTCATCACACCCCGGCGTTTGCAATTGAGAAACATTAGTTATCTCCTTCTTCTTCTCATGACGGCCTCGGCCTCGCAACTGTGTATAAGGTGAACGTCTTGCACGTGCGGGTACATGTTTCCTATCTCTAATGACCCGTTTACTGGATGGGGTCCTATCTTTGATGTCCCTTACTGATGTCCTTGAAAAAGATATAGGTAAGAAGTCATCATCTTCAATGAGCTCTTCCGCAATCATCTCTGGTTGTTTTTCCTTCCTCTTGGATTTAGATCCACCACTTTTTTTCTCACTCCTTTCTTCATCTTTACCCATCTCTTCATGACTTTGTTCTCCTTGTTCCCCTCCATTACCCTCATCATCCTCAATGACATTCCCCCCGACATTAGTATTACTGTCATCATCATCCTCCCCATCATTTGTATCACCACCATCCTCCCCATCATTTGGATCATCACCATCCTCCTCGTCCTCCCCATCATCTTGTTCTTGTTCTTCCCCTTCAGTTTCATCTTCGTATTCATTGCCACAATTACCGCCACTAATCAACTTTTTCTCTAACTCAATAAGCTCATCATACTCCTCTCTGTTTTTGGAAAGAAATTCACGTACTTAAAGTAATGTCATCGCCTACAAATACAACACAATGAATGGGTTAGCATTCGAGAATGATATAATAAATTGATAGCAACAAGACAACAATAGATAATATGAAGTGTACATACCGGTTGATGACGTGATGCACTAGGAATGGATGATATGGTGGGTTGACTAGTGTACATACCGGTTGATGACGTGATGCACTAGGAATGGATGATATGGTGGGTTGACTAGTGAAATTCCTAATACACTTTGGGTTTTCAAAATGGATGATATGGTGGGTTGACTAGTGAAATTCCTAATACACTTTGGGTTTTCAATTATCCTCATCATCACTTTTCACCGTAATGATCGATACTTCCTCTCAATAAAAATGGGGTGTAAGGAATCCTCTTTTATTTCATACTTGAGCTCCCCCACTAGTTCATAAAACCAAACCTAAAAAAACAAATTTAGTTACAACAAGTAGAACATATGCAAATAAAACTATATAATTTTATTAAAACTCACCACCAATACTGAGGCAAACCCGCCCATGTATCTAGCTCGTGACCTCTCTCCTACGGCTCTCTTTGTGATGGACAACTTTGTCTTACTCATCTCCTTATGCAGTAGATCATACACAGCACCAGCCCAATTATAAGAACGAAGAGCAAGTAACCTTACTCATCTCCTTATGCAGTAGATCATACACAGCACCAGCCCAATTATAAGAACGAAGAGCAAGTAAATTGTCCGCATATCTAAATGCCCATAATGAACACAGCACCAGCCCAATTATAAGAACGAAGAGCAAGTAAATTGTCCGCATATCTAAATGCCCATAATGAACATGAGTTAGAGGGTTGAGGGCATAATACAAATCCAATATTAAAAGCCACAAGTAATTTTACACATGTTATGTGGTTGGAGTCTGCCAACTCCACAATCAAATCAGTCATCCTTTTGCGTGTGGCCCACACTTTCTTATTATCTTTATTTCCATCCTTCTTGTCGACTTTCCTCTTCTTCCTCTTACTAGCCTTCTTCTCCTTCTCCTTCTATGTTTGGGTCTTTTTACAATACACATGTGCAGTATATATAGTATTAGGCGCTCAACCATCCATTACAACCCTATTTCTAGTCTTCGGCAATCCGGTTATTTCATGCACATCTAGAACACTGAACACAATATTCTTTCCCCCAATCTTGAATGAGCTATGCTCTGGATTAAATGCATGAAGCAAGCAATCAACTGCAACTTGTTCATTAGGTATAGCAGGTAGATTAATGAAGTGGAAAAAAGGGGGTTTGACGAAGGGCTTCATAATGATTATTATTTAGCAAAGGCCTTAAACGATTATTCACCAAATCACGAAATACGCCAATATTTGAAGGCAATCTTAACTCTGCAACATTTTTCCTACAAAAAGAATATATCAATCAAAACGAATAGCCCTTATAAATGCAAAAATTAAGAGATTGTAAAGCAAAGTGATTATAAATGCAAAAATTAAGAGATTGTAAAGCAAAGTGATAAAGCATTAAGAACTGCATTAAGAAAAGAAGAAGGTAATGCATGGTCAGGCAAAGTGATAAAGCATTAAGAACTGCATTAAGAAAAGAAGAAGGTAATGCATGGTCAGAGACTTAACTGCAAATTGGTATTATAGGGTATATTTAGCATGAAAGGTAATGAAACAACAAATTAACCCAAGCAAGAATGACAAATTTGCTGAGAATTAAAGTCTACAGTATCAATTATACAAGAAAGCACACCATACGTCAACATTACTTTATTTGATCCTCTCCAGAGAAAAAACACATGGTTAAACAGGAACAATAGTTGAGTTATGAAAATCCCAGAAGTTGATAGAAGATTCTAGAACAGACTTGCCTTTAAACTATAAGTTGGTGCAGAATTCCTTTGAACCAAATTGACCGGCAGATATACCAAAATTTTGTATATCATCTTTGAGCTTACAACATGAAGAATCAAGTCTTCAAATTTCACCTTGACAACTACCAAAAAAAACAAAAAACCAAGTAACTAAGCTAAGATGATACCTTTCTCAAAAATACAAAATAAAAGGTAAGATGATATGATTTGGTTTAAGGAACCAGAATCAGCTTCGCCTACAGGCCTTAATAAGACAAAGAACAAACAGAACCATCAGTTCCTAGGAGCCTTCTGTCAGTTAGTTTAAAACTAGACTAACAATTTTTAACTTGAAATACAATAAACATCAGAAATAAGTCAAAACATGGACAAGAAGCATCTTTATACAGCTAAATTTGATAATGAAGGAGTTGCTCATGTAAACTTTTATCAATATATTCAACTCTTCACATGCTAATATCTATTGTTTAATTCCTCTATTACCAACTTAGTATCTACTGTTTCATTATTGTAGGATAAAAATCAACTATTGTAGCAGAACACTAGTTATGTTAAAGTTTTCTCCTGATGCTCTTATTTACCATTCGTATGTATCAGACGTATCTAGGGATCCAGGGATCCAAATCTTCAGATTCAATTTCATTTACAAGTAAAACCCTAAGAAATTATTAAAATTTATGAGATAACAATAATTTCATATAAATTAAAATTTACTTACTTAGTAGCCTTAGACGTCGATTGGGAAGAATCCCTCGATTTACTTCTGCTTGACATCTTTGACAACCTATTGACAAATATTTCAAAAATACAATATAATTATGAATATCCCAGCGGCAGGTTGGAATCCTTTTATAAATAACTAGTTTCAGGCCCGTGCGATGCACGGATTTATTTAATATACAAAAATTGAAGTAGCAAAAGAATGCAAAATAAAATAGTAATAATATATAAGTAGTCAGAAATGATACAACCTAAGCTGCATATAAATTTGACTTACTATTAAACTGTAAAAAAGAATCAAAATATAATTTCCCTATTATCATAACAAAATAGATAAAATATCTCATATCTATATGATTAATGTTATAATATTTTGCTATACCAAATAATTAGTATGCATCATAAAGTTTAGTTCCAAACAAAATATTTAAAGCACATAGAGATACCTGTCAAGAATATATATCTATGAATCAAAACTTCCAATTATCAATATATTGATAAACAAAATATCTATCATAATCATATCAAGTAGTTAGGTTTCTCAACCCAAAACCACCAAAAAAATATGTAGTGCATACAAAAGTTTACTAAATAAAGTTTTAGACCAGAATACTAAATATAAGTTTCAGACATCATGAATCAGATAGAGATTTTTCAAAAATGAGCTTGAACTCTTTGTAGAATATTCTAATTCTCTTTTTCAATTTTGATCTATTTTTGCTTTTTGTTGCTAGACATTTGCGAAGAAATCAAGTCTACTAAAACTGAGTGCTCGACATCAGATTCTAACAAATTTGCGAGCCCTGTGTTTCAGTATAACATAGTAGTTAGCATGTTAATGAGGTGGCAGGAAAAGATTGTTGTACAATTAATGTGAAGAATCAAGAAATTAATAGTAAAGCAAAAAGAAATAGGCAATCCAAAGTGATAATGGTGAAAGTTGTAGCAACAAAAGATACTACTCAAAAAGATATTAAAGAATTTGGTATTGCATTTAGAAGGATTACTATGACAACCTATAATCAAAAATCTTCTCGGTGAATTCCAGTAATTAAGCTAGCTACTTCTATTAATTAATCTATTTAAGTTTTTCATGATCAAGTAAATCCATGGTTCAATTAAGTATTTTTTTTTAATTTGTACATCAAGGAGAAGGTGATGGAAGTTTTTGATGCAAAGTGTCAAAAGTTAATTAGAAGCTTCACAGGATTGATAATGGGTCATTGACAAATAGAACACAAGCCAAAAATAATGTTAACTAAACTTCAAGCTTTCATTTGTTTTGAAAAATTATAAAACAAAAATGGTAAAAAAAACCTTGTATTATTAAAAGTCATTCTACTCATATGTTAGATAAGAATCTGACAATATATAATGCATTCTTTTAAAAAATCTCACATTAAAAACATATTCTACACATTCTGGAAAAGTAAAGACATGTTTATTTTATATATTTAGTTAGCATACTAATAAGATATAAAGAAAAGATTTTTGCATTGTTAATGTGAAGAATCAAGAAAACAATAGTAAAACGAAATTCAAAGTGATAAAGGTGAAAGAAGCAGCAACATCAAAAGAGTATTTGGAAAATAAGTATTGTGAAGTATACAACAAAAGAGAATTTGAGAGTTATGCCTTCTCAGGTTGTCCCCTTGAATATGGAGAGAGGTGTTGAGGTGTTGCTATAAGTATTAGTTTTGATCATAGTTGAGTCTGGATGGAGGTTGTACATATAATGATTTTGGGATGACATGAATACTTACCTTTCATTTCACGAAAAAAAATACAAACACGAGGAATGAAAAAGAAAAGTAATACTAAGTGTATCGACTTACAATATGAAGATCATCTTTCTTTTTGGAAGATTCAGCTTCATTAGTGAAATATTCTTGACTTGTCGACTCCTAATGATTACAGTGCGTCTACATAGTCTCTTAAAATCCCAGTCGAAGTTAATAAGTCTCATTTCATAAACAAACTCATCAAAAGTAGACTTATTAAGCAATCTATACTTAATAAAGCCAAACTCATCCGGCAAGGAATTAAGCAGTCCATCTATTTTTTTCACTCAATTTCAGGCTCCATTTGGACTTCCATATTAAAATTATACCTCTATAATTTAAGAAAAATACATACTTAGTTTGAGACATCTCCAACATTCAAAACAAAGAAAAACTGGAAATAATTTTTCATATAACCTAACAATCAAAATATAAAATTATACCTCTAATTCAATTGCAATTGAAAGAGTATAACATGTAAAATCATACATTTCAACCTGAACAACTCACTGTGACAACCTTATGTAACATTGAATCGTGCACAAACCTCTGAAGCCTTCAGAGAAAATCTTCGTTGTAGATGGTGGAGGTGAGGATGAATAAGATGAAGCATTGATGGCTTACCATATATAAACATCTTCTTCAGATTTAGTTTCAAGAAGCGACATGGATGAACAAACCAACTCCAAATCAGATATTTGGAAAAGCGAGCAGCTCTCATATCAACCCAATCCTTACCCACCTCCTCTTTTAACTGTGTGATTTAAATCATCAACAGGTACATTGTTATAAATTTAGTTAT